TGTTTGCTAATGCCTGGCAACCAGCTACTACAAATGGGCTTGTTTGCAAATAAGGTAATAATCTTTTTTCTCTCTTTCTTGAAAAAAACCCACCCTTCTTGCTTCGCACACCCAGCTTCAGTCATCCCCGTGCTACAGAGCTGTGGAAACACCTTGAGACTTTCCCATCCTGTTCTGGTGGTGTCCAGGCCAGGGCATCACAAGCCCCTGCCAGCAGGTACCTCCTAAATGGGGCTGTGCTTCCCATCAGTGAGCTGGTGCCAGCTGCTAACTCAAAGGAACGAGAGAAGAATCTGGAAACCCCGCAGCACTGACTTTTCCAGAGCAGCTCTGCTCTGTGAGCAGGAGCTTTTAGCAGGGCCTGGTGTCCTGCAGATGTGTCTCCTATCTCCCCATTGTCCTTTCCCTCCCCTTGCTTCCCCACTGCAGTCTTACATAACATTACATATTGCAGCTGCAGTATTTCCACTTTTCCCTATACCCTTAACTCGTTCCCTTGTTCCCTCCAACATCCCAATGCTGTCCATGTCTCCTACCTAATCTTCTCAGCCTGCCAGCTGGGCAGGGGAGAGCAGATGCTGGTCCAGAAGTAGACGTGTGATAATTGGCCATCTGGATGCTGCCAGAGAGAATGGATAACAGCTGAGCTCTCCCTGCCTTTTCTTCAGCAGTGGATCTGGAAAGCCTCTCTTCTCAGAGCCGGCAAAGATTTCCCTGGAACTCAGAGGGACTTTATCATCTCTGAGAGCTCGACTGCCGCTGTCAAATCTGGTTCAAAATGCCAGAGTATTCAAGAATTATCAGGAGAGGGTCAAGCAGATGGACAGAGAGCATGACTTCATGTTCTCCACTGCCTTAGAGGTCCAGATTAATATCCCCCCCATCCCAAATTTAAAAGCATTTCCAACCTCAGAGAAAGAGCCGCTCCTAGTATATGCATGAAAGTCATGAGTTAATATTTTTGATTGATCCCAGAAGAAAATCAGTCCAGGGGTTGGAAGAATACAGTTGTCAAAGGGTCCTTAAATGGGTTGGTGACATTATTGACAATGATGGGTGCTTGGAATTAAATCACTTGTAGCTGATCTGTCTCAAAAATCTCAAGATGTTTTCCAGGGACATCTTAAAATGAATGCCAAAGTAACTGTCTACCCTTTTTTAATAACAGCAATTGCTACAATCTGAGAAAATTTGAATATTCATAGTTTTAAGGCTCCAAAAGCTTTAGATGTTCAACAAAGATCACTTGAGATCAATCTCAGTCCTGTACTGAATTTAGTTTTCAGCTGGAGCTCCCAGCTGAAACCTCTCCCAAAACAGCATCCAAACCCTTCATCCAGTCTTTGGTGGTAAAGCACTCCTATGTGTATGCCAGACATACCTGGGCAGCAGTGTCACACACATTATTGTTGTTAGTTATTATTAGTTTTGTAACTAAGAATAAGAATAAGAATAAGAATAAGAATAAGAATAAGAATAAGAATAAGAATAAGAATAAGAATATTATTAACGTTCATTATTGTTGCAATGACCTATGCAACCATTTTACTGTAAATTCTCTTTACATCTTTTTTATAGTCTAATGAAATGAACAGGACTCTAAAGATTACTCTTTTTTTTTTCCTGCCTGTCCATTTTTCTCTTTTAAGCAAAGCATAAAACCATGTGGCACTGCTTTGAGTCAGCAATTGCTTAAACTTTTTAAAATTCCATACCCTAAGTGAAAAATGAGATTTACAAAACTAATGGAAAATAAATGTCTCCCGAACATGCAATACATTGACTTGCTTCCTTGCCTTAGTCCATAAAAACAGATGGAAGCAATAGCTTCAGTGAATTACCTACTGTATGCAGGGCCCTTTGCTGTCTCTAGGCAGCCCTGGATGAGAACAGACCATTCCACTTTAGCACCACCCCACTCTTGTGGCTGCCCTCACGGGTGTGGATCTGGGGGTGATCAGCCTGTTTCTCACCCTATTTTACACCTACAGTGCATAGACAGGGCTGTCTTTCCACCAACCTGGACTCCTGGACATATAAATAATGGAATTTTCTCCCAGGAGCCTTGACCCAGCTCAATTCCTCTCTAAGCAAGGGAAATTTGGAGGCAAATCTAAAGGCACAATCCCTCAAAGGGATGCAGCCAAGGCACAACCTGGAGGAAACACAAGCAGTTGCTTTCCCAGGGATATACAATTGTTTTCCACAGCAAATAAGTTCCCAGCATGAGTTCTCCACCACTCACAAGCCCTGTTCAATGTATCCTTGGAACACATGCCTCTCACCACACACACAGAAGGAAAACTAATCTGCACGGGAATGGTGTTTCAGGACTCTGCTTTCTGAAGTTTGCCTAATAAAGCAGAGAGCAAAGAACGCATTATTTTCCTGAATATATGAATCATACCTTGATGGTGTCTACTTTGAATCATGGCATTCAGAGATCTCCCTGGAGCACTATTCCTTACTTTAGAAGAGAGCAGCTATTCCCAGCAGAGATGCAGCACATGTGTCGGGCTGATGGATGGCCATGCTCTAGCAAGAGTCAAAACACTTAAGAAAAAGAAGTAAAAAGCTCCCTAGAAACCCTAACTAGCCGGAGAGTAATTTGAGCATTGCATTCAATTTACTGGCTACCAACAACTGCAACATTTGGCACCTTCCAAAAAGGTTTTGCAGCAATGTCCTTTTCCCCACTGCAGAGCCCTCTCCCACCTACGCTGCCCATGTGCCTGTTGTGGTTGATGAGGGAATGTGTCCCACTGAGGTCAAGGGCAGCATCGTGTCAGACCACAACAAAAACACCATCAAGCCTTGGATCAAGAGAGATAAATGGAGCTTGATAAAAAATTCACCACGACTTAATCCTTCTAATAGGACATAAGAAACAATATTCATGTATTTATATTACTAACATGCTTGAACAAAGAAAAGGTTTGTCTTGTAAACCAGTAATTAAATATTAGCAATTAAAAGTACTGTATATTGCTTACACATTATACTTCACTCAGCACCTCCCAGGCCCTCACAAAAGAAATTCCTTCTGTGCAGCCAATGGACACTTTTGCAGGTTTTATCAGCCCCCACAGGAAAGGACAGCACCAGTGCTGGGCTTATCAGAACAGCCTGTTCCCAGGTCTCTGCAGAACACTCACCTTTTCTGCAGAGCCTGCCAAGACCAACCAAACAGAAATGCAGTACCTGAGCAATGCACCGGCACAGTGGCACGGAACAAAACCTACTTCAACACCTTTACACTTCATTCTCCTCAAGTGTAGGAATTACCATGGCTGACATTTTCCAAGATGACTGGCCCTATGGTGACATCCACTTGAGACAGAATCCTGGAAATTAGGAAGTTTAAATCGCCACTTATTAAAAAAAAAACCCCAAACAAATCAACAACATAATAAGAATCTTTGCATATAAATTTACTTCCATCCTGCAACATCTGCAGGTATTGCAGTCAGGTGGATGGTGGATTCTCACAACCAAGAGCAGGCTGTGCTGCAAGGGCTCATTGCATTAAAAAACCGCTCAAATATATGCAAAACCGGACTCAAATCTATCCAGAAGACAAAACCTAAGGCCAGAAGAAAGACTTTACTAATTAAGGCTATCTGGGCTCTCCTGTGTGACCTTTATAGGGCACCAGCTCTATGTTGTGAGATCACCAGGTTAAACAGAAATACATTAAAATTAATGGTATCACCAGCCCTGATCTCCCATCCATCCACCAGTCAGGCTCACTTCACAGGGAAGGACATTCCCTTAGCTCACATGCTGCCTTTTGCCAAATGATATGCCATTTTCTTTAAATTAAAAGGATCTTTAATCACTGCTACTCATGCAAGAGCACTGAGCAGGGAGAGGGCCAGTGCAAATGCAAATCCATTGAGTTCCCAAGGAACCCAAAGGAAATGGGATTTCTCACAACTAGAGCTGGCTGCAACTTGCCACAATTTTCACACTTCTTTTCCCGAGGAATTTTTCCAGTCGGACTGAAAATCTTTCCAGCCAGATAAAATGCAGTCAATGCATAAATGAGTTGACAAGTCATTCTCTGCACATACTAAGTTGCTTTTATTAATCCAGAACTGCATGCTACAGATACTGTACAGCATGAACATTTATTCATTACAAAAAATGGCTTCCAAACCATTAAAAATGAAAATCGGAATAAGAGCATAAAACGGAACAGTAACATCACAACTGTTAGGAAACATTCAAAGTATTCACAAAAAATGTTATAGTTAGCATCTTAATAAACCAGAGAAAAATCTGAGACAGTTTTACAATCGCTTCATGTCAACTACAATGGCACTGAATGAACAGATGAACAATTTTTCAGCTTTATACAGCGTTTTTTGCAACATCAACATGCCTAGGTTTTTTTTTTTGTTTTAAGTTTGCTACCTACCTGTATGTAGTAAGTGTACATAAAAGTGGCAGTCTGATTTTCCTTTTATGAATAATCTAATATACAGAATTTGGCCCTTAAGGGTTTATACCTCTTCATTTTAAATGCTTTCCGGACAATCTGCTACCAAACACGTCTGTTATAGGTGACATTAAAACTACATACATATCTACCTATGTAACATCACAGCAAAACATGATGAACAAAAAAATTACAGCATTAAAAAAAATAATAAAGTTGTCGGGAGAAAGTTAAAAGTCACTGAGAATTTTGGCACATAAAAATTTTGCACACAGCCTACAGTCCTAATGTCGCAGGGGATTCAGCTGCAGTTCTGAACGGGAGACACTTGGACCTTGCTATTTTTCAAACAGCATTGCTAAAAATTCCCTTGCTAAATTTTCAAGTCTTTTCGAGTGTAATGGCTTTTAAAGCAATTTCATTCTTTACACTATTGATCCTTGAAAAAATGCATCTGCGAATGTCCATTTGGTGGCAACCGTATTTCATATAGCAAAAAAAAAAAAAAAAAAAAAAAAAAAAAATCACAAAAACAAATCAAAAACAGAATCCCGGAAAAAATATATATATACACATTTATATATAAACTTAAAAACCTTGTACAAATGAGTTGTTATATATAAGATGCTTACACTAAAGGAAAAAAAAAACCCTTTATACAATGTTTCAAGGAAAAAATAAAAGAAGAAAAAAACATTTAAAAAGGGACAACATACAGATACAACAAGCAATTTCTAAAGCAATAAATACTACTGGTCCAATAGCGTTGTGATACTTTTAATTGTTGAGTAGCGTCCCCTCCCCCAAAAAGAACAACACCATGGAACAAGGTATATTAACACATTTTTTAACCCTTTGTTTCTGTACATTTAAACAATAACAAGTAACATCACAATAAAGGTTGTTTCACACAAGGAAGAAAAAAAAAAGAAGTAGTAGCGGCACCGCATTCGTTGTGCCCTTAAAGGTTTAAAAACCAGATGTAAAATGATTGGTTCGCAAGCTCGTATTTAATACAAATAATAAAGAACCAATGCCTCTGGCAAGGGCTGCTTCAAAATTGCTTCTTTTTTTTTTTTTTAATTTTTAAAATCAGTCTTTAAAACTAAGCTATTGGAACTACATAACAATTATGTATATATATATATTTTTTAAACGCTACAAAGACTTTAAACAGCTGTTGATAAAAATTTTGGCAGAATCATGAGGCTTTTCTCATCTACATATTTAAAAAGGAGAAATTGAAATAAGAATGGGTCAAATATTGACCAATGAACTCGATAAAACATCAACTAATGTAGCCACATGGCACAAATTAAAAACGAAACCGAGAAACGACGACAAACAGCGGACGACAACAAGGAGAAGAAAAAAAAAATAAAGAAAAGGAAAAAAAACCAAACAAACCAAAACCCCAAATACCAACAGAATTCAATCCCCCCGAAAGGAAACCAAAAGGGCTAACGAGGCTAAAGCTATTCTAAGGACTTCGTTACAAGGGAGAGCGGCTGGGGCTGTGTCCCCGGCAGCGAGCTGTGGGAATGCAAGGAGGACGTCGAGGGCTGTGCGAGGGATGCGGCGGCGGCCGGCGGGAGGGCGGCCGGCGGGTGGTCCAGGGCCCCGTTGGGGCAGCTGGCGGCGGGCAGGGCGCCGGGCTTGCTCGCGGCGCTCTCAGCAAGCACGAGCGAGGATGGCGGCGGCATCATCACCAGGTGCGCCAGCGGGTCGGGCTTCAATGACAGCGAGAGGGGTTGCGTTTGTTCAGTCTGTGGTTTCGAGTCTCTGGAGGGGGAGGCGAGCATGGCGGGGGAGGACGGAGGAGAGTCTAGTAAGCTTCCATCTGAAGAGGGTGGGCTGACGCAGCTGCCTTCACCTTGTATGTAGCGAACGCACTTTTTTTTTCTCCTAGAAACAGGGAGAGAGTTATCCATGAATAAAGGGCAGAGACGCTGATGGAGACAGTCATCTACAGCAAAGAGCCATCAGTCAGCTACTCTGGGCTCTGCATGGGTGGCATCCTGGCCCCACGTGCCATCCTGGGGGTCTGGCAGGGTGTCCTCAGCACCAAACCCGCTCGGGAATCTCCCCTCGACTAACAGATTTGGAAAGGATTCACCAATTAATTGTCTCTTCATCCCTCTCCTCTTCAGGCCGCCTCCTTTCCTTATTTTCATAATCAGAAAACCAGATAAATGGGTTTTGGAGCCCACTGTTCTAATCTACAAACTTTCCTACATGGGAAAAAAAATATTAAAAAGTAGCTTAATCCTCCTAAAATAAAAACCCTGGATAGCTGATGGTATCTCAAGATGTCCCATAACACTGTCCAACTCAAGGGGGCTACAGCTACACCTGCATCACCTGTGGTGTCATACAGTGCCCTGCCCTTGGGAGGCAAGATCAGCTGCAAACTACTGTTCATTGCTTTCTCCTCTGTTAAGAACCACACCAAATCCAGAAATGTCAGTCAGAAAGAAGGGATATATAACAGAGAGAACGAGAGAGAGGGGAAATAAAAACAAAACGAACAAACAAAGCAAACAGAAGAAAAAAACAGGAAAAGAACAGGAAAAACAGAGTATGATCCAAAATAACAAGAATAACTGGTTGTATGGCCTGCAGGTTGTGGCTTTAAATCGACTCAGTTTTACTTTTTGTTTTAGGGGAGAGTGGTAGATTTGGGAAGCTGCTTGTCTGCATTTTGGGGATTTTCCTCTGAGAGGCCATCCATGTAAATCCAGAGTGGGATCCAATTTCAGTAGGTGAAGAGCACGACGACAGGTACAAAGGTGAGGAGCAACATGGATCTTAATTTCACACCAGGGCATGTGAGAGTCTCGCAAGAGCTGCTCATCTTCAAATAAATAAGTGACCCGACAGAGATCTTTTCTCCTCCCTCTGTCCACTGGATAATGTAAAGGAGCAATGAAAACAGATGACAGTTTCACACCATCTCTCTTGCCAAGTATGTGCAGGACAATTCTAGCAGTAGGACAGAAGTAATGAGGCAAACAACCACAGCATCTGGCAGAATGATGCCCGGTGGCCACCTTGACCCTAAGCATGCTGGCTCTTCAGCCCCCTGATCCACAATCACACTTCCCAAGGGAGGTGCTGAAGTGCTGTCACAGCCCAAGGCATAGGACAAAGCCTGTCTGGAGCAGCTCTGCCACGAGAACTTTGGATGCTCAGCTAAGCTGCACAAAGCCACCAACGTGAAGGAGGAGGTTGCTCTCCCTCTCCAGTTGATACCCAGTTGATCACCCCAGCTCTGCAACTCCATCAGAGGGAGTGCCTGAGTGTGGCACAGCAGCTGAGTCTCACCAGGGGACATTTCCCCCTCCAGGAGGTGCACCAGTTCCGCTGCTGGCCACCAGTGTTCTCCCCTAGGTATGGCATTAAACCAAGCTCCACCCTTGAGGCAATGAGACGCTTCTCAGGAGACCACCCTACCTTGATCCTGGAGTTAAAACTATCATCTCCCATAGCCAGGAAGGGAACAACAAACCCAGTACCCCATCTTTCACCAGCTTCAGTGAGGGACCAGTGCTGTGACATCCCTTTCTCCAGAGACTCAGGTCTGCCCTCAGATTCTGCTCCATGTGCCACATGGCAAGGTAAGGGGTTAGGGCTATTAGAGTTTTAACCACGTTAGCCTGCAGATCAATACATGCTAAAAACTAAAGACAACCATGCATCTTAAATGTTAAAAAGAAAGAAAGAAAGATAGAAGACAGCAAGTGAAGGCTGTAAACCATGCTTTATTAGAGCAACGTTAAAAGACAGGAAAAAAATTAATTTGGTGGGCTCAAAACAGACCTTGTTAATTATTCTACCATCAGCAAACAATACTGGAGATATCTGGCTCTTGGCTAAGGACAGTTCTGCTCTGTTCTCCCCTCTCCTCTCTCACTGCTTCCTACTTTAGCTGTGCAGCACTACCAGGGGCACAGTTCCTGTCTGGACCTTCTGTACAGCTCCAGTGGCAAAGCAGGACAGTTAAACTCTACAAAGCTCACCAATCCTCCCTGTGTAAGGAAAGATGAGCTCTTACAATCTGGAGACTGCAGGACTCCCTCTCCATCCCCAAATTAAAATTACTTGCAAGCAGAGACCCAAGCTCTGCCTGCCTCATTGATGGGGGTCCAAAAGTCCTTTAACTGGACTGCTCTGAACCTACAGGGCAGTAAATTATTGAACTGGAGGCAGTTTGAATCTAGTATGCCAGCATTTCAGATTTCTTTTTAATATTATTTATGTTCTGTGGCCTGAAAGAAAGAGCTCCCATGGCAAAGCAGCTTTAAACCAGGTTTACCTTGTTAGCTTGCAGAGCTAACAACCTTTAAAAAAAAAACAACCCACTGCTCTGCTACCTGAAGTAATTTTCTTTTGACTAGGATTAAGGGAGCATATTGCTTCTTTTGCCAAACTCTTTAATAGTGTGGCCACTCAGTAGTCTGAAAATAATATTTACTTATATCATGATGGCTCAAGGGGGGAGATATTTCTGCAATCTGTGCCAATCACACCATGGTTACCTGTGGTCATGTACCTGTCAGGGTTAAGTGGGACAAAAGGTCCAGAGGGCAAACCCCCAAACCATGCAAGCCTGATTTTAGCAGGCATGAAGACCACCAGGCAGCTCTGGTGAGGGGGAATAAGCAAAAATCTAAGGAACTATTTGTGCCTTAGTTTTGCTCTCCAAAAGGCTGGAACAAAAATACTACATAGTGCCCCCTCAGAAGCACTAATGAGGATTATTCACTTGTGCATTGCTCTGAAAGTGTTAACTTGCTACATCAGTAGAGCAAACACAACAGACCTGAACCCGCTTTTGCTGCTTTTGAAACTAGCCCTGGAATAACACCAGGAAACCTGTAATGCTGCAATTGCCATGAGTGAAAGCCACAGAAGAGTGCAAGGGTTTATTCAGTTGCTGTGGGCAAAGATGTCTCAGTTTTCACCACAGTAGCAAACTGCACATCTTTAGCACCTACCTAAGGTGTACTACAGAATGCTACCATGCTAGCAAATGCAATGTTATAAAGGTTAGGACCAGAACTAGGAGAAAAATGCTCTAATACCTAGTGGTAAAATGCCTCCATGCATGAAAAAACAAAACAAAACAAAAAACCAAACCAAAACAAAAAGAAGCAGCTGACTCTGAATCAGTAATCCAGAACTATCAGCTATACCACTGAAGTTGTCCCTGATGCACTGAAAAGACTTCTGACCAAAATCTGGTATAAGTTAAGAGAGGGTTTATGCTTCACATGTAACCTAAGCACTGTACAGACCAAATAAAAAGTTTCCTTGCTGATAAAATGTAGTTTTAAAAGTATGTTGCTTACTTAAGCAGCCAGGAAAAGATAAAGCAACACAAACATGATGTGCCCCCAGTTCTGGTACTTGGCATGCAGAGCCTGACATGCTTCACATACTCTATCTCTAGACTACACAAATATCTGCTGATAGTGTGCAGCAAAGTAACCACAGAACAGAGCCTAACTAAACACAGCACTGCAGTCCTTGGCTAGCATGAAACTCCTGACACAGTGAAGTAGCTACACAGCTCTTCTGGACTGAACCCTTCTCCCTCCAAGCACTACAGAACTGCTGCTTTCCCACCTTGTTTAACACATGTCCTGGTACTGATATCTAACCCCCAACACCCCATAATACCATGCCTCAAATGGGAGAACACACAACCTGCAGGAGGCACTTCTGGTGCCTCCTATGGTACACTGACACAAACCACCACCCTCAGTCCTGGACACTAAGCACAGACAAGACTGCGTGCATACACAAAATACGATGGACATCTGAGCTACATTCTAAATGAGATGGAGCACATGGGACTGGCATGAGTAAGAGGGGAAAATGTGGGAGAGGAATCACTACACACAGAGTGTGGTTTGGGTTGAAATACCTACCATCATAATATTCCAAATTCAAAGACTGCTTGTATCAGAATAAAGAAACAACAAATTTAACCAAATGCGATCATATAAGGAAAAAGGAATGAGAAAAGAACTACTCGGTATCCCTCCACCAAGAAAGAAGTACGTACTGAGTTACACATAGAATTAAACTCCAGTAGAACATGGGCTGCCGGAATTTGGGCTCTCTGATGTCTTTCAACTCCTTTTAATGCTGGAAACTGTGCTACTAAAGTTGTAATTAGTTTTGTCTAGAGCTCAGACGTTTACAGCTCACTTGTTGGGATAAAATTTAAGAAAAAATATATTTTTGGGATTAGGAAAAAAGATTTTGGATAATTTAAAAAATTATATCTACATAAACCTTACAGAGGCATAGTAGCCAACAGGTAGCTGTTTTAATTTTTCAGATAATACCAAAAGAATGAATACAATATAAGCTGTAAACACTGGCTTTTACATCTCGAATAACAAAAAAACCACTAGTACTGCAGATCCCAGAACCTTTTTTAAAATGCCTCTGCAGGTAGGGGACATAGACCCAAATGAAAGATAAAATATAAATGTCCAGCTAAACATTAATTTTGCTGACAATCTGGAAAAAAATGACAAAAAATCGCCAAAAAAAGCGCCAGGTTTAAGGACTTTGAGTTTTCTTGTTCCCAGTTCTACCACCAGGGAGAGGTTATTGGTAAAGAAAGAGAGAAAATGGCATTAAATTAGCAAGAAATTCCAAAGATCAAAGATTATTAGCAATTGATGCTGTGGGAGAGAGAAAGGTGGGGAGTGGGGAAAAAAGATTAAAAAAATAAAATCACACAAATGCACTAAGAGGACAGATTGCTTTTATTTCCCCAAAGGCCTAATGGGTAGTTTTATACCTGCATGGTTTGCACCATAAACTCTGTCGGTCAAGCCCGAACAATGCCCGACACTTCTTTGGAGTATTTGCATCTGTTAGCATAAGGTAAACACAAAAAATACAACACAATGGTGGATAGAGCTCATTTGGTCTGCGTCATCTCAGCTACAGCTACGTTCAGCTTGCAATCACCTCCGTTTTATTTGGTAATCTCCCCTCGTACCAAGGGCAGGAAGGAAAACAGGACTTTCACAATGAGCCAAAGGAAAACCAAAAAAAAAATCTCCGACACAGCCACGAGCCTGTGTGGTGTGGGTACAGCACTCGGTGCCGCGTTATCAAGGGCTTTGGGAGCCACTGTCCTTGGGTGGAGGCTTGGAAGGCAGGAGTGTGGTTGAGCCACGGATCAGATGGGCTTAAGGTTGATGCTGTTTTACAGTGGGTTTTTGGCTAGCAGCAGCAAAGAGGAAGGCAAAAAAAACCAAAAACAACCAACCAACAAAGGAAAAAAAAAAAAAAGCAAAACCCTTTCGGAGAGATGATTACTGATGGCAGTGTCCCACTCCCTTGTGTCTTCTAGATCACAACACAGAGCTACAAAGCAACAAGGCAGGAAAAAAAGGGGAAAGTACCAAATAAACCAGCTGCAAATCAGCCATAGCGAGTCTGGGAAAACTATACACACCTGCAGGGGCCGCACCAGTTATTCTGTTGATCAAGGCCAAAGCGCGCTCGGCATTTCTTAGGAGCGCTCAGGTCTGAATGAGTTCAAGAAAAGCGAGCAGAAAAGGGAGAGAGGAAAAAAAGAAAAGGGGAGAGGGGGGAGTGAGAGAGAGAGAGAGGAAGAGAGAAAAGGGGAGAAAAAAGAGAAAGGTAAAAATAAGGAAAAAATAAAAATAAAAAAGGGAATAAAAATCAATGTCCTTGTTATTAATTGCAAATATTGACTTTTGATTTAAAAGTTTAAAAAAGTGATAATTACATTTTTATTCAACTCTTGAGATTAGCTGTTGCAATTAAAGCTGCAGTATCCCTTTATAAAGGACTGTTTCTTTCCCTTTTAAGAGAGCAGGTAGAGGAAAGTCTTTGTGGTTGGTCTAGCAGGATGTTTCAGGCAAGATTGATTTGGGCTGGGGTTTCTTTTTTGGTTTTTTTGTTTGTTTTTTTTTAAGAGGGGGGGAAAAGGAAGAAAAGAAGCTGAGTATGGAAGTTAGATCCTGAACATGCTTTTTTCTTCAACTCAGATACAAAATAAGAGAAAAAAAAAAAGAAAGGAAAAAAAAAAGAAATTATATCTCCTGGGATAATGCAGCTTTTGGAATAACATTCAATTTACTTGTTTTCATTAATTTGTATTTAAAAGAATGGATAAGAATAAGCAGACTGCGGAATGAGTATGTTAGTATCAGCCAGAAAATAAAATGTAAAGCATGGCAAGGTGCTGAGTTAGTACAGCTAGTGAATTGCAATGAACAGGCTTGAGCAGAAAGGAAAAAAAAAGATACAAAACTAAAATAATAATAAAAAATGTGTATGCATGCTAATGTGAGAAGACTTAGTGGGAGCCATGAAAAATGCCATTAGATTAAGGAGGTTCATTACTGACTTGCTTCCATTCTTTATCAGTCTCTTTAAAGAAATACTGCATATTCAATTTGCACAGTTAGTACAACTCTTGCGTTATTTTTACTGTATTACTGTTTTAATAGCAATTGTTACAAAAACAAAAAACAAAATTAAAAAATACTATCAAACATAATAGATATAAAGATATATAGATAATAAATACTATCAAAACGTGTGGATGGTATTTTTTTCTTAATGTCATAAGTGTTTAATGTTAAAATCTATAATGGCAGGAAAAAAATTAAAAAGCAGTTTATAAACTATTTTAAATGACTCAAAATGACGTTAGCACCTGTAATCGGAGGAAGTGAAAGGCAAGGATTTAGGAAACATTCGCTGTGTTCTGAAAAAAAAGAACAAATTATACAAAGGCTTCAAAAAAACTAAGTTAGGGCTTCTTCAAGATCGACTATGAGATTGCCTATGCAGTATTTCTAATTTCCTATATAGAATGGCAAACCTCCTTAATTTAAGATGGGTGCGATTTACCACTGTAAGGCATGCATCAGGACATCCAGGGACAGCCCAAATTAACAGCGCACGCACACGGACACGCACACACGCGCGCGCGGGAAGCGCACGGCTGATAAACCACAGCACAGGCATTCCAGCTACGGCTCTGCGCTACGGCCTCGGCAGCCACGCGGACAAACCCGGCCGTGCCGCGCAAGGAGGAGGAGGCTCTGACATGCAATGGCTGGGTTACTAGGTTTAGAAGGGCGGTAACGCGGGAATTATTGGAGTGCATTTAAAAAAAATAAAAAGCTGTCTAGCATAGGGACTGGCTCCCCTGAGGCCAGGAGACCTGTGCCCACCTCCCCCGTACCTACAAGGGTCACACCAGGACTGCCACACTTCCACTAAGCAAGAGGTTTAGACTTGTCTTTACTTACCATTGGTCTCTCCTGGCTGCTTATCCCTTTTCCTCTTCTTCTTCTTTCCCTGCAGAAAACATACACAAAGGAGAAGGATTAGAATTAAGCCCCAAAGAAGTGTCCTTGCAAGAGGGCACAGAGTAATGAGGCTGCAGCTGGAGCAGGAAGCTCCCAAGGGGGAGCACTGAAGTGTGACACTGGCTCACCCCCTGTGCAGGGAACTTTGGGGGGTCCCAAGGAGATGCCACACCCCAGGACTGACCCTGCCTGCCCACCCAGTGACTTTTCTGAGTCAGCTGAGGTGAGGGCAGAAGGATTTGCAAGGTGCTGCTTTTGAGCTAAGATCATCACAAAGCCAAAAACATCTCACATGTGTATGCTCCTGCATGCAGAAGTTTCAGGAATCATTTGTGATCATGTATTGGTGGGACAGGGAGAGGAAGGAGAGGGAGAATAGAGAGGGGAGAGTGAGGTCAGACTGAGCCCCTGGAGTTCCTCAGCACCAAACCCCAAGCATTCAAGCAGACAAGGAAGCCCACAGTAATGACTGTATCCTAACCTGCAGATTTAAAGTTCCACTGACAACCTAGAAAGCAATGCCAGGACAATAAAAAAAAAATCCAGACATAGCCAAGACCCTTCCCACATTTTCTTCTATCACAAGGAAACAACCAGTAATATTTTGCTAAACTCTATCCCTTTCCCAAATGCTGCATCACAAGATGATGAAATTTGTTGCAGTTTTTGACTGGAGGGGGAAAAGCCTGTTCTGTTTCTCTCCAACAGTGTGGGAGAGGACAACTGGGAGCCCAGCTTCTGTGGAAAAACAGTAATTGCTTTCCAATAGAAAAAATATGAAGCAATAAGCACAGCTCAAAAGAGAAAAGCTATTTTTCCAAGAAAACTCCTCTAACAGTGAGGTAAAGGGTTTGCAGACTAGTACAACAAGGCCAGTGTAGGCAACAGAGTAATTTCATTTTCACAGCTCTCCAATGCTAAAAGCAACAGCTTTTGGGCCAGCAATGTCAGCTGTGAACAGCACAAGAATTCCTGGCTTTGAAGACATGGTAGCAAGTGCAGCTGGTGAGAAGACCCCGGAGCAGCAGTCCCTTGTGGTCAAGGGGCAACAAACATATCTTGGAAGGAGGAATCTCACAGAGCTTTTGAAGGGTTGGATGTATCTGGGAAACCCAAGAGGTTCTCCCACACAGTGGGCATCTATCTCAGTAGATGGATTCCAGCTACATGGTTAAGATGGACTTCAGCGTGGCACATGCACACTTGGAATGCTCCCTATGATAGATTTCCTGGAATGTATTAGTAAAAAATTCCTCCAACGCGAATGTAGGACATTGATCTGTCATTGTCCTGTTTTTCCTCCGCAAAGCTGACCTTGTGGCACAGGGTTTCTGCACTCATTCCCCATGCTTGCTCAGGGTTGTAAACTGCCATCCTGTTGTCCAGGCTGTTCCAGGTTTATGAGATTTTTCTGGAGATGGAAATAGCAGTGTGAACTGTCCACCTCAAAGGAACTTTAAACAGCAGGCACATAATCCTGCAGCCTCGATGCTGATGACAAATAATCTCTGACACCTCTGAGGTAACTTTTTGGGATATGGAAGTTGTCAGTTGCTAGAGCAGCCATCAGTCTAACGTGACAGGCAGATAAGGCAGACAAGCATTGCTCCTAAAGCTCCCTGAGAACAGAATAGGGAAAAGCATGGTATCTTGAAAACCATGTATCACATAAAGATGCAAGAGGCTCAGACTCTTCTCCATCTATATTGATCTAGATTGACAGTAACTCTGCAAAAATCACTGAATTTTTTCCAGTTTTCAACAGCGTAACCAAAACCAGACAATTGCCTCAAGATCATAAGCCTGACTTTTATTTAATCTCAAGGAGGCCACTGGCATAATTAACAGACTGCATCTGTGGCAAATTTGCTTAATTTTTGCAGTACATTTGGGAATTAAAGGGCTATTTCAATTTGAGACCTTATAACTTCTTCACTCGAGGACCAGCCAGAACAAAGGTCAGGAGTCACTTGCCTTTCGCAAGCTCTTCAAGCCAGGTATTAAAGTACTGTAATGCCATTAGGGAGCAATCTGTTAAAAACAGCTGATCTACAGGAATGTCAGCCAGGGACCAGGAATTTCTCGTTCTTTTTCAACACAAACTTTTAAAACTCTTCCTTCCTAACAAAGAATGGACACATGTCACATCAACTTCTTTACACCCTTTTCAAAGCATCAGGGAGAAGAATAATCTGGTTTGCTTGTTTAATTTCTGGGCTACAAGAGGACATTAGACTATGTAGCTAAATTTATACATGGACTTAAAGGAAATAACTGTGGCAGCAGTTTTTCAAGTGCTCTGCAGAAGGCACCATTTTTTCTTTGCCTAAGATTATTTTCCCAAGACTTGAGCAGATTGTAACATTTTCTGTCATCATACTATACAAATTTTTATGCTGCAAGTAAATATGGATGTAAATACCTGTTAGCAATTTTGGTAGCTTCCTCTCTGGAGCCAAACTAAGACGGGTTTTGATAGGTCTGCAGAGTTCTTTGGTACTAATTTTCTAGACAAGTAGTGGGTGAGGTGACTGGACCCTTACATACTTCTGAGTCCAGCACTCAGCACTGCTAAACATCTCACATCAGATCTCAGGAAGAGCAAACGTGCCTTGTGACACCAACAAGGCATGAGGCTGAAAGCTGCATTTCCTGAATGCACTGCTCCTGTCTCTGAAGACTTGGGCTATATCTGGCCTTATCCCCGAGCCTGATGTGAGGTGCTTAACAATTTAACCACTTCAAGCAGCCCAAAGTCGCTCCCCTGCTAGATGTGTGAAAGGCTCAAGACCCTACAAACGGCTGAGGGAGGAGGGGCACTCAGGAGAGCTGTGAATGGACCAGGAGAGGAGACATAAATAAATCCTGCGGATGATGCAAAGGTACCACGCTCTCCTCAGGCAGGAAGGTTCCCCCTGAATGTCACCTGGGGCTACAGCATCAAGCTGCTGGGAAAGCACCGGCTTTCTCATCCTCTCCTTTTTAGCTTGAGAAGAAAGGGTTTCTCAGTGTTCACACAGTGAGGACAAAAGTAAAAGGTCCTAAACACCAAGGCTTTGTACATGCCCATCTGTCGGTGGCACAGGCACTGTGCAGAATGAGCATTCCCGAAACCTCAGTCAAGCCCAGATTCCCTTTTGAACACCCAAGATGATGATACTGCACAGTGCTGAGCAACTACCTTGAGCCTATGGTCTGACAGCCTCAGGCCAGACTGCGCTGAAAAGGGAAGGAAAATGTGCTAAGCAGGAGCTGTGCCTCATCAGGCTTGAAAAGGTCTCCTCTGAGGAGCACGGGATCAAGAATATTCTGAACTGGAAGAACAATTGGGCATGCACAGGTATACCTGTAATGACCAAGGAGGGAGAGCTGAGCCCGGTGGAAAGACAAAATGATCACGAAAACAGAAGGATTTGAAAAATTGTCCCTAAGTACATATTGCTAAATAAGTGAGCATGTGTATTCTCCACCACTGAAATGGCAGAAGAGTGTAAAGAGCTGCTGCTGCTTCTCCTGGCTTCACTGCAGACTCTGAACAGGCTTCCTCCCACCCATACATTTAAAAATGCAGATTCACAGAGGCAAGCATTGTCATATATAGCAAAACAGAATATTTATGGTAAAACAGGTAGTGATTTTGATGAGGATGGAAAAGACAGATTTCAGCAAAACTGTAAGGTGTAACTCTATTCAAAACTGGCATCAGTCTTAGAGCTGTTGGTCCCCAAATCTGCAGGGAAGTGTGACTAGAAGGCAGAGAACAGGGTTTATTACAGAGTTACAGACCCTGAGAGTTTTAGGTGATTTTTATTTAACTTAAAAAAAAAAAAATCAAGATGCTGCTATAATCCTATTAAAAAGGGTTTAGAGCTCTCACCAATCCACAAATCTGTCAAGAATTTATGGGCTTAGCTTGCAAACACTTATTACCATCTGCACTGCTTACCCTTCATGGAAGGAGCTATTTAGTATAAGGGTTATAAAGCTGCCCTTATGCTTTTTAACAGACAAAAAATAGTAGCTAGCACTTTTAGCTCAAAAACAGGCTTTCTGAAAAGTAGGGGGAGGAATCAATTTTAAAACAATCCATGAATTGATCATGAATTCCAACATACTTTTTAAAAAATTAGGAGGGTGGAGGGGGAAAGAAAGGTAATACGGGTATGAAAAAGAAAACATAAACAAAATACACAACTATGGAGTGTGGAATAATTCATTTAACCCCACTTGAGAGTAAGACTTTCAGAAATATAATGCTTTTGGTTTTGCCAGTCCTTCTCTGAAGCTAGGATAAGTCATTCTTCCACTTTCCACTACACTCTCACACACATAAGCACAAGACACTAATTATTTATCTCTTTTGGTGGAAAGGAGAGGAGCATACAAGGGGCATTTTAAATTTCGTTTTAAAAAATGAAATTCTAAATGACCAGCAAGCCAAACAGTATTTCCAGATGCTGGTAAAAGTGAAGGGAAGACTTTTTTTCACAGAGCTCTACTGTTATCCTCAAATTCTAACCCCATACCAGTCCCAGCCAGGAAGCCTCTTCCAAGTGGGAATTACGCCCCAGCAGTTTCGGTATTGCTGAGGGAAGTGCCTGTTGTCGTTACCACATTGGGGTCCTGAGACTTTCCACGCAGTGCTTGTGTGCAATGCATGGTCATAGCTCAGCAGGTCACACAGACATTTCTACAAGCTCTACTACTCAAAGTTTCCACCCACATAGGAACCTACATAGTTATCCCGTGCAGACCAGCCCGGGTACAGCTGCATGTGAAGCTGTCGCTCCTTCCTTGCTAGTTCATAGTATTTCGCTTGCTCTTCTCTGGATAACGCGTGCCACTGGGGTGGAGAAAAGACAAAAAGACAAAATAAAAAGCACTAGTGGTTGGGAGTTTTTTTAAGCATATTAACAGCAAAGTGTGTTATTTATACATATAGATACAGTTAAAATTGATTTTCATAAAAAAGAGATAAAAACAGATGATCTGGCATGCTGACATTCATATTTTATTTACAGCTCTAGATTATAACTGCAGTTAAATCAACTGCACCACAACTAATCATTTACATGCACTCAACCCCTTTGTCTCCTGTTGAGAGAGGAGAATTAAGAAATCTAAACAAAAACAAGACAGCAGGGGAGACGGTCCAGAAGCTGAACCACTTGTCCTGAGCCAGAACTCGGTTCCAGCTTTGGAGGTGTCTCCCCCACTGGCACTTCCTCTCCTCTTCTAGCTCTCACAGGTGCTGATACTGGTACTGTACTCAAAGGTTTTTCATTTCCCATTTACTTTTCTGCCTATCTTAGGCCAAAATAAAAATCTTAAGATTTTTTCATCAACCGGTCATGGAAATGATACTGAAATAACACTGCTGTTAATTAACTCCTCCTCTTCCCCATGAATGACCCCACTGGCAAGAAGTGTCTGCAAAAACTAAAAAACAAAGGCCTTTGATTTAGCAATTCCCCTATCCATTTTCACAATGGCAGAAAAACACAGGGATTCAGAAGGTGTGAATCCTCCCCAGTTTCAGGCCCTGCTTGTGCCTGTCCCTTGTTACCTACCCTTCGACCGAGGATTTGGTTGATGGCTGCGCTCTCTTTCAATGTGCATTCTGCTACAACTTTTGCTCTCATTTCCTTCATATACAACATAAATGCATTAAGAGGTTTCTTTATGTGTGGCTTCTTTTTCTCTTCTTCTTTTTTGGAGTCCTGATGTTTTCTGAAGAGTAAAGATAGAATAGACAGAGACCTCACAGTGAGAACCCCTTGTGAGTTTATTAAATTAATCCCCTCATTCTCTCTAGCAACAATCCTCAACAATCTCTAGGAAGAGGACCAGAAGGTTCTCTAGACCCTTCACCCTGGCTGCTGTATGGCAACAGTCTTAAAAGCACTACAAGAAAACTCACCTCATGTTTATGCAACACTGCCAAGTACCCTCTGAGCCCCTACAAGAATCTTGGAAGGACATGGGCCCCAGAAAAATGGGCTTACAGGGAGAGCTTGAGCATGACAGTAGTGGCAATAATTACACCTCTTTATCAATGGGCTCTCGTCAGTTCAAACCTAAACTTGATACCAGCTCTCTGCAGCTTTGAAGAAGCCATTTATGCTTAGGTTTTTTGTCTCCTGTGGTGCATCTGTTATCTCAAGGCTTCAAACTAGACACTGAGTAATAGAGAAACTGGTCAAGAAACTTGAATCTCAATCAAGAAAATTCCACTTCCTTGTTGAAACAGGTGAAATTAGCAACTACTTGCCTATGTCATAGAATGACTCAGACTGCTACCATCATTTGGACACACTTTGGCAGCTAAACCACATTCAAATCAATTATAACAGAAAAGAAAAACTGAAAAAACATTTCCCAGCAAAAACATCACAAACCCAAGCCTGTTTACAAGCCACACATGCACAGGGGATGCTTTGAGTATCCCAAAGGGAAGACAGGGGAAGCAACAACTTACGAGCTGTGGAGTGAGCCGACGTCGCTCTGGGAAGATTCCTGTTTGACTGTTGGTGTGACTATGGCCGGATGAGGAATCCCAGTTGTGTGTAAACTATGGTGTGGCGGGACCATGTGTGGAGGAAACCTAGAGGAGAGAAAGCTGTGTAAATTGTCAGAATAAAAATGAATGAATGGGGAGGGATGTGTACACACATTAATAAAAAAAAAAAAAACTGGCATATAACAAGCACATGACAGCTAGACAAAGCATATGAAAGCTGGCAGCATTAATTAGCAATAAATTAAACATAATGACTCTTCTAATGTCATTAAAGCCAATCTTCCCCTTCATTATCATTACTGACACGAGACATCATGATTTTTAACATTAACAAAAGGCAAATTCAACTGGATGAACTTGCATGAAGGTGGAATTTCAGCTACCTGAAAAAAAATCCACCAGTCCATTTCTTTGCTGAGAAATTATTTGTGGCAGCCAAGGAATCAATTTTTATAGTTTTGAATCATGTTGTGAATTTAGGATGACATCTTTTATTCTATATTGACAGCAAAATAAAATATTAATGCCAACACATTCTAGATGCATTTTTGATAATACTTATAGACGCCTCATTAGCTACATTTTGTTGATGGAGCAAAAGAAAAATATTTATTTGTGTCTAATAAATCTCTGAGCCACACTGCTTTAACAGAAGGTGGAAGATTGTGGAATTTTTGAACCATTTAAGTAACCTAGAAAGGCTTTAACAATCTAGCCTTTCTAAAGAGAAAAAAATGTTGTCAGCTTTATGGTTTATGGTCATATACATGGACAGATCCCGGTCCTGCAAGTGGATTCAGAGGGATATGCAATCCTTCTGCATGAATCTAATTGCTTGGTCGGGATCACAGCACAAACATGGCACAATCATTCAGACTTTTTACATTTTATGAAATATAAGAGAAATTAACAAAATTCTCAATGAACAAAAATGAACAAAATTCTCAAAAGCAGGATTGATTTATATCATTGTTTCTCAACAGTCTCAGAAAGGCTTTGCAGTAAATAAAGAAAGCACAGCATGACTGACTGCCTTCCCCCACTGAAGTCAACAGGTTTCCAAGGAATGGGTTCTAGCCTAAAATTATGTTTCAGAAGTAACTTTCCTCAAAATGCCAAAATTAAAGTGATCTGGCAAGGGCTTTTCTCACTGCAAATCCCCACTCTCATCACAGATTTTGAACAATCTGATCCAAGTAAAACAACCCAAGATTATGGAACACTCAATTAGATAAATAATTATTTCTTCTATCATCAATATACAATGATTTTTTTTCTATCCAACAGGATTTAAAATGGGGTGATATACCATGGATATCGTCGTGTATAAGCATCAGAAATATAGTGGGGTTATCTTTTTCTCTCCCCTCTTATAAATCCCAATGCCAAACTTAACAATACCATCCCCCATGACTGCCTAGACATTCTCTGCATTCACAAGATGACACAGAAGTACTTTCATGAACAAGAGCACTGTCCACTACAAGCTCTGAGGATCTTTTGTCTATCAGCTGGTAGTACTCAGGGTGATTAGACAGAACTATTTTGTCTTTGAAGGCAGTGGTGGGAAGAGCAAGGACTGACAGGGAGAATGTGAAATTGTTCAAGTTGTAGAGAATTGCAGTTCTTCATGAACAAAGGCATGGAGAGAAGGGAGGCAGGAAGGTGGGATGGCAAGGGAAGAGGAGAATGGGCAGCAAAATGGTCATTCCTACTTCTGCTAAAGACTCACGGACACAAATCGCCAAGTGGGTTGTCCAAGTGCCTTCCCACTCTCTGACAAAAGTAGCTGGGAGAGAAGCACACATTTGAGGATATGTTTTGGTTCATGGCAGGTCAGAACAGAAGACAATGTCGAGGCTGCAAAGGAGACTGGCATCCTTGTCCCAGTTCTGCCACAGAACTGCTCACCCTCAGCAAGACACAAACTGGGCCTTTGTGTTACTTTTTTCTGTTCCTTCTCTACTTCCATGTGTATGTATTTTGATTGGACATATTTAAAATTTGTTCACACACAGCTGGGACCTTCAGACACGGTACAATGCAAATAAAAACTGGCAGTATGAGCTGGATTTTTTTTTTTAAATAACTAACAAACATGATAAAAAATAAAAGGGGTGGTAAAAACTGACCTTGCTGAATGCAGTCTAAGCACAGTGATAAAAAGTTGAGGCACATCCTATCAAGGGACTGTCCTAGGCAAGATCTAGTGTTTCAGAGAGGACTATGCTGCTGGGGCTGGCTAGGCCAGAGACAAAGGGACAATGAGGGATGAAGATGGAGATGAAAAGCCTTCCTTCAGAGAGCAGGCAGGAAGAGCTCTGCCGGTCTGACATGAGGGCTCAGCGTGAAGTGCGGTGGGCATGTACCAGCAGGAAGAAAATCTAAATGCAGAGCACAGCATGCCCACATTGTGTGAAAGCCTGAAGGATGGCAAAGCCTCCACTGACCTCAGCTGGGATATTTTACTCACTGGGCTCTAAACTCCAGAGACAGCAGCCTTCATCAACAGGCAGCTGCAGCTCAGTGGTTATTTTCAGGGTTGTAGTTTCCATGAGGAAGTGCTGTGTTCATTACCAATGGCCATTCACTTTTTCATACTGAATCTGTCCAATTCACAAGGCTGCCTATTGGACTTACACACCCCTTCCTATATTTAGGGCTATAAAAACATGCTCCAGAACCCAAAGTTGCTCTCACAACCCTATAGACTTCCATTGGTGGGATGAGGGTTCAGCCCAAGATTTGAGTGCCTGCTCATTTCAATGCAGACAGCCACTCACATGGCAATATGAGCAGGGGAAGGGTGTTAATTTTTAACTTCCTGGCTACACTCCAACTTCAGTAATTACATTCAGCAAAAGTGAATTTCCCCTGAAATTTCAATTACAGAAGGTATTTTCCACTGCCACCACTTAACTGCTGTGCAGTGTTTGTCTGGTGTAATTCTGCTAAATTATTTCCTGATTTCCTCTCACAGCAGTTGTTTTTTCATAGTGGGTCCACTGTTTGCCCATCATTCAGTTAGCCCTGTCTCATTTTACCTTAAAGGCATATTACAGAGGGGTAATGAAGGATCAAGAGATCTTACAGGCATACTACAGGCGTACAACGTGAGTGTGGCAAGGCTACAAGTAACAACTAAGAGTTGCAACTGGTTAAAGGCACTACCTTAACAGTCTAAACAATTTATGAAAAATCACTATTAGTCACCCTTAGCCTTTTATAAACTATTCATAAGCACACTTAAACTAATAAACAGCAATTTCTAAGCTTAGGGAACTAAAGGTTGGGAAGCACTATAGGCTCCAAAGATCTACACCATAATGCAGGCAAAGATGGGAACTATTTCAGAAGGCAGGCTCTGGAAAATTGTGGATGGAGGGGTGAGGTTTGAGGTCTGTGCTGACTTCACTGCACAGCCAGCACAGCAAAGGCAAGGTCTGCAGCAGGGGCTTGCAGCAGGGCCCTGCAGGGCAGCTGCCCAGGGCCAGCATGTCTGGAGGCCAGCATGGACATCACCAGCAATCTCCCGACAATACCAGACACCTGGACAAGGGCTGTCCCCTGCTGAGCCCAGGCCGACATGGGAAAACATACATGAAACCATGTATGAGAGCACAGAGGGTGCTCCCATCTAGGGGAAACCAGAGGAGAAGTTTCTGGGCTGAAAACAAAGGGTAAACACCTTAAATCAATTCATCCCCCTGCACGTGTGCCTGAGCACGTGCACACGCAGGGGCTTCTGTCAGAGACAAAAAGAAGGGCTCCCTGTGTATGTGCACACCCCTCACCTTCGCCTAAGACATTCACCAGATTTTTTTTCTCTAGACAAGTATTCCATGAATTGCAATAAACACCCTAAAAATTCTAAGCAGCTCATTATACACTACTGTCTCCTTTTATGGCTCCAAGCCAGAATATAATGATGAGTCTTAACTTGTTAAGGACAACTAATTTTTTGTTCCTGGCTGTCTCAGGGGCTTCTCTCTTACTCACTCTCACTTTACTTCACTGTTGACATGTTTCTGTTAACTGGATGTCATCTGCCTGCCTTGATTTTATGCACAAGCAGTGGGATGCATTTTTCTGTGCAACAATTCTGCTTTGAGTTGCATTAGATTTGTCATTATTCTCTCATTTTCCCCTTGCACTTGTAACATTTCATCTATTCCTGCCTTATTTTTTGAGCCACGGTGCACCCACATTATGGTTTATACATGATCTTGCTCCCTTTGAAGCCGGCAGATTTCAGAGCCAGCCCTCGTCAGGAGAAGTGCCTGCTACCAATTTAGCAGGCTGAGGGCCCCGAGCTCCAACAACTCAATCTAAAGGGGGTCACAGGGTGGCACAAGCGAGTGTCAGCAAGTGCTGTTTAATTGCCAATCTAGGCTTCTCCATGGTGTTTAAAGTATAATGACCCATCACTTAATTCTGAGAAGTCCTGGCCCTGCTGCTGAATGGAATGAATATCAAAGGATGTGCTAGAACAGGGCAAGGAGCCTACATTTCCTATAACTGCCATAAGTATAATAGACCTCTACTTCTGTCGTCCCATTACCACAATAATGTATTTAATTTGCTGTGTACTCTTTTTAACTAGATACCTTTCATAAAGTCTATCTTGGGAATATAGCCCCCCCTGCTTCCACATCTCCCCCCTCCCTCAAATGACTAGCCTCTCTAATAATAATTAAACTAAATCAAGCTCTACTTTGCCTCACACCATGCCTGCAAGTCTTTTATAGATATTAAAAAGATTAAACAGGGGGAGGGAACCATTGTTTAAATTTGCAGCTCTCTCCCCAGCCTAGTATTTTTTTTCTGTTCTGGGACTGCGCCCTTTTTTTTTTAAGTTGATATTCCAGTTGTCTATTTGCTGGGCCAGCATTTTAATTTAAATTTTTAGTTTTTTGTTTACTTCTCTAAAGCACACACCACACAGTTTTCCCACCCATTCATTCATGAGCCCTGGGTACAGATTTCCACTTCTCAATGAGGTGTGCTTCCCCCCAGCCCTCACCAGTCTTTTCCTCCTTAGATCATCTATGCACCAGTGCTCACATATTAAACTGCAGAGATGGAGAGGAAGGGACAGAGCAGGGAAGAGATGTGGAACCTTGCTATGTAATGCATGCTAATTTAATTATGTGCCATCATCAAAATGGATTAGCTGTTTCAGCCCATCAGGAAAGTCTAAACTTCCACCGATTTAATTAACCAGGCTGAAAATCAGATGAACAGAAAATAAAACTATCATTAGGAGCAATTACTGATTACTTAAACATAGTGCTGCCAACCAGTTTGTAAATAAAACTAGCAGCCCCTGGAAAATTAGATGGAATTAATTGGAGGTAGGGAGGGGGAGAAATATATACTTCTAAAGCTTTTGAGGGTCAGGCAGGCCCTTTTATGTTGACTATTAGTGTTTGGAGCTTTGGGAGGGGAAAACACAGCACAATAACCTTCCTCCCAACTCTGCTGAAGAGCAGTCCTCCTCCCTCCTGAGCCTCCCCTCCCGCACACACAGCGCTGCTCTGGCTGCTGGCCACCGGGAAAGCAAAGGCTATCACCACTTCTCATCCCTGCTTTTTCAACATTGCCCTCTCCCAGTTCTTTCATTTAGTTTGGCTTTCAAAGGTGGCTTCTCACTCCTCCACCTCTCCCTCTAAGGCAAATGCTTGAGGCCCAATGACAGCGACAGGACACCACCTTCTCCTCACATGGGAAGGTAGCCCTCGCCCTCTCCTCCACCCCACCAAAAAGCTAAGGATCGATGTTTAACTCAAGTGCTTTCAGGAATCTGCTGCCTAGACAAAATGCTCTCCTACAGAGAGTGGGAGGAGGAGCTACATTTGCTCTTGATTTAGGACCTCAGCATTTGAACTCACCTTGACATGGAAGCGTTGACGGTCAGAGCTGTTGGGTAGGGGTGGCGGAAACCCCCTGTCGTGATTGGGTACACTGGCTGACCTTGCCTGGCAAAAAAGAAGGGAGAGAGGGAATGAGAGAAAGGAAAAAAGGGCTTAAAAAAAAAAAAAAGAACAACAAAAAACTTCTCTCTGCACAGTAAGCTTTATTCTCATTTGATCAGAACAAAAATCTTGGGGATTGTACAGCAAGGATCAAAGGAAAGAAACACAGAACAATTTGAATGCCATAAATCTGATAGGAATGGCTAATTAAATTTTATAACCTCTGCTTATGTCAATAGAGACCCTCTCCCCAAGCTGAAACTAGGTGTTTTGTTGTAATAATTAAAGGCGAAGTCTCGCTTGCTTTAATGGAGCCATCACACTAATTGAGGGCTACACATCCAAAGGAAAACAATAATGAATGTAAATTTATACCAAAATAAAGTACAGTGAATCAAAGGACTTCAGTTGCGCTTTGGGCCTCTTTCGGTATTTAGATCTCGGTGAGAAAACATTAAATTAACAGAGCTTAATTTGTAGCCTTTTGTCAGATTAACAAGTGTTGACAAGAGTTACCGGGGGAGAGTCCCCAAGAAGTATTGTGGGTAACCAATAGACAATCACACCTCATTACAATAATTAAAAAATACAGCAACATGCAAAACAGCATCCTCATGAAAGACACACAACTTTTTCTGACGGAGGTTTGTCTGTGCTGGCTAGCTCGTTTCATCTGTCCTTCAAATACATCATCTGACTGGGCAGGATGCTTTTGGAGTGGGTGCTATGCCAGGAACATGCAGGCCAGTGGAGGACAGATGGGTTGGGAAGTTGATGGTGAAGTGCAAGTGGCAAGGAGAGGGGAAATGAAAAACTTGGGGTTACTTCTGTGAAGTTGGCCGTGCCACTCTCCCAGAGCAAAAGTCAATGTGATGGTGTCACCCCCAACCAAAAATCACTGGGATAAGCTGTAAGAGCTGTGGGTAGGCCCTAAGTAGACCATGGGGTTGACTTATTCTGAAGCAGTGGGGATGGCAGAGTTGTCCAGAGACAGAGGTGGCATTAGCATCCATCTGGTGAAACTGGCCACACGTGGCATCATCCATGTGCTTTGGCAGCCATGGCATGAGGTGCAAGGAGGACAAACCTGTGTCTGCACAGTACAGACACCCACATGAGCAATGGGGTATAGGCCAGGGACACTGAAGAGTTTCTTCCCTGCACCCTCATGTCTTTCACGTCACTGACTTTTGGCACTAGCTGAGTGTATTTGTTTGAAATGTTGGGGCTATTGCTGTGCAAATTTGAACTAAGGAGCTCACATGCAGTCTACAATTGTTCAGGGTGTCCTTTAGAAAAGGTAAACCACTACAAACTAGGAGGAATTTCAGATTTCAGGGAGCAATGCTTTGGTTTTTTCTTCTGCTCATCATGTGCTCTTCTGGAGAAGCAACATTCAGCAGAGAGGTGATGGACATGCTTCACCTTCAGGATGGGGGAACCTCTATCCAAAATAGCTGCATGACCATCCACAAGGAAGGGCAGCCTGCAAAATGGCCAGAAGCTCCATCTCTCCTGCATCAACACATTTGTGCTTGAGAAAGGTCTCCAGGGCCTCTGATGCCACCACTCCAAGGGCTCTGATGGCCACCACCACGTCTTGCCCAAGACCTGGGGATATGCAGTGACCTCCTGCCCTGCCCTGCTTTCCCTTTGGGGTGTCAACTCAGTTCCTCATCAAGGAACTTGTGGAGAAGTATTTTAGCACAGCTGGAGAAACAACCTCAAGCAGGAGCAAACTATTTTGAACTTTGGGCAATTAATTTCTATAAAAAATATGATCACCCCAAAACAGAGGAGGCCTGTTACGTGAGAAAAGCGAGTAACAGTCTTGATTTATAATGCAGAGAACTGTTGTATCCAGCAATACAAATGGATTTTATAAGCATTAAAATCAAATATACTACACAAAAGGCTTAGGCAGTGCTTAAGTATATTATAAACCTATTGAGAGATGGCAACATAAGAAATAAAAGAAAATAAGGACTTGATTACTGCTGGGAGCCTCATACCCAGCAAGGCTCTGCAAGTGGGATCTGAGGAGTCGAAAATGAATCCAAATCCCAAACTAACTTTCCATTTCTTTTTTCTTAACCAGTTTTAAAGTAAACTAATTCCTTTTACTTGTTTAAAATTCCATTCCTTAGATGCCGATTGCCAACTGCCCAGCCACATCTCAACTAGGAATGCTGCTCATGGCTGATGTAAAGCTCTACTGTTTCATAAGTAAAACAAAAGAGTTTTCAAAAGACAAGGCAAATGAAACTTAAAATTGCAAATTTGTAGTGAGGATGGGCCTAGTAAAAAAAGAAAACAAAGGGTCTGTGAGAACTACCTTGAGCCCCCAGAAAACCAAGTCTGAGAAAAACTCACGTGGCGCAGTGTAAGGGCAATAACAAGAAAAGGACATTTCTGCAGAATGTCAATTTCAAAATTCATGCTTCTTGAGCTGTCAGCTGGTTAGGATGTCATGCAAGGCTGTGTCCAACTGCTCAGGTTTTGTTTATGACCACATGACCTGGCATATATTTTAATTAACCTTCATGAGGTGGGTAAATTCATAACACTCAGTGAAGTGGCAGTTGTCAAACAAATTCATCCCAATCCACATGCATACATACACACACACACATATATTTTTACATAAATTTTACACATCAAAAAAGAAAAAAAGAAATTAAAAAAATGGAACTCCTTACTGTGGTACTAACCATCCTAGCGGATGGGGGATTTGTCCTACAGTGCCTGGTGATAATGGATAATAAGGAGATATATCTGGAGGATGTGGAGGCCTTGGAATTCCTATAGAAGATGAACATAAAGCACCATCAGTATTGAAATATGGAAATAAATAAAATATATAGAAAAAACACATATGTTTCTAAATTTCTGTCAATTTACTTTTATTACAGTATTTGTGACTTTGCTTAGGGTTTTCAAAGGCTTTTTCACATTCTCATTTTTTAAACAAGAAAAAATGTTATTCACTCCCTCAGTCACCTCTCCAGTCAGAGATAATTATTTTTGTTATTCAGAATTTGGCAGTCTCAGACACGATTTTGGTGTGATGCTGTACTAGATATACTCTTAAATGTTCAACACAAAGATGGACCCTGCAACAGCTTCATGGTTATTTTAGTTTCAAAGTCAGCCAAAAGACCACAGACCCTACCCATGTGGTGACTGCGTACTCAACAACATGGCATTATTCCAAAGCAATCTCCAGAACAAGTTTAAAAGTCATTAAAATTGCAAATGATGTTTCCTTTTGAGCAAACCTAGGAAAAGTTTTCTGAAACCAAGAGTGGAGGTGAGGACCCCTGGAAATGCTTGGTAAAACCAGGGGCAGATGTTGAAGGTGTGCAGGGGAGGACGGAGAGCCCACCCATCCTCTCTGGACTGAGGTACAGTTCCTACTCAGAAAGCAGAAACCAGCTCCAGACACAAGCCTTAAATATTAACGCTCCTTACCTTAAGAGCAAATAGGAATTGCTCAGAGGAGTAAGGGTTACAAAGCTGGGTCTTTCAATTAACAAGCCAGGGCACAATTACACAGCAGAAACAAAATTAAAACAGAGAGCATTAAAAAGAAGGGGTACTGTATTCAGGGCTAAAAACTACTTTTTTAAGTCACTTGGGAAGCTTTTAATCTCTAAATTAAATCTCCTTGTGTGACATTTTCATGCAGACATTGCTCTTTCTCCATTACAAAACCCAAACAGATTAACTGGGCTTTAACCATCCAGTGAGCTATTTGCACACTTGAAAGAATGTTCACAGAAGAAAAGCAAACAGTCTACAGACGTTAATCATATGTTTTACGATAACCATTTAAGAGCTATTCCCTGTACTACCATTATTTAAATGAGAGGTTGACTATGCCATTCACTTGCAATACCCAGGGATGGTGAGATGGATTCCTTTCAAGCCATGTGAAGTCAGCACTAAGCACAATTAAAAGGGGGCCCCAGTTGAAGCATATCCAGTGACAACCAGCTAATGCACAGTCTCATTCAAGGGCTGTAGTTTAGATAAATTATCTGCATAAGTTAAGGCTGACACAGAGTGATTCCTTTGACATGAATTCTGTTTCTGATGAACTTCACAATTAACTAAATGGGGCTTGGATTAACAAAACCAAAAACCACTGTCACTAGGAACTCAGCACAGCCTGGAGAAAGAAGATTGACACTGTTTGACTTCTTTGGAACCTCAGGTTAAAAAGGGACTCTTAAAAAGTTAGAATAACATGTAAATTCTACTCTGTAACACCAATAAATCTAGTCAGGATTTTACGTGGTGCTCTATATTCAAGCAGAGTGCCCTTCAGGCTGAACTTAGAGTTGGGTAGACTTACATTGGGGAAAAGAATTGCAAGTGTAAAGCTGGAGCTAAGCAGTTACAGTGGATGAAAATTCAACATTATAGAAGAAAAATGGCTGAACTCCTGACACAGAAACAATGGGATTTGGGGAATTAAAAGAGATTCATTTTGAAACCGGTCATGACCCACCACCTTTAAAATTCCAGCTGCAATTTTGTAAGTGCAGATCACAGAATGTACATGTTTAATTCTCTGGGTCGTGCATGCAAACCAAGCACTGGTAGATTGAACTACCAGGTGGGGTATCATGCTTGCAAAGAAACACACCTGCAAGCGACCCCACACATGCAACTCTGGTGTCATCCTGCAGAAGCTCTATGAAAATTCACCCAGTAGGTTTCCTTCTGAAGTCTAATTGGCTTAAAAAGAAAGTATTTTGTCTGGCTTTGACATTTTACATGCCCCCTTTGGTGCTCCAGCATGGGAAATCCATTCTCCTGCACTCATCTCCCCTAATGCGCAAAAAAGAGAAGATCCATCCACTCCCTCCCAAAAGCAACCCCAAAATACTTCCCACCTACCTGTTTTGGGGTCTACGTCAGCTGGTAAGTGTGGAGGAGGGTTTCCTGGTGTGAAGTGCTCATTGCTGTATGTGATAAGCGGCGTGAGAGGGTGTACATGGTGTGGGTGCTGCACAACTGGCACTTTGTTAGACTGTCAAGAGAAAAAGGTTGACACTGTTAGAGCAGCGCTGGGCATCCCCCCACTACAGCATGAGGTACAACACACAAAAAATCAGAGTAGCCAGGATTTCAATGCGATCCTCAGACTTTTCCAGATTCCTTCTCGGCGTCACCCTTGCAGTTTTCCCACCCTCTTGCTTAAAACCTCCTCACACACTTTCCCTGCTGTTGAGGTTCTTTAATCTTTTTGACCTGTCATGCTCCTGTATGGAGCAACAGCAATTCTTTAAAATTTTTCCTTTTTCTTTTATAATCTTGTGCTTCACCTCCAAGATGCAGGCAGACTCCTCAGTGAGGGGCTGAGAGAGTCCCCCATTTAATTAGCAAGAGACCCAAATGCTCAATGACCTGTAGGTCTTTTCCTCTCCCCTTCCTGTCCTCACTCTCAGTTCTGCATTTTACTGCTCATTGCAAATACTCCAGATAAAAAGCCTTTGTAGTGCTGGAGTATTCCCTTCATCAGCAAGCATTAAGCTGACAAGCGATCACCTGCATATTTTATATATATATTTTAGAAGAGCTAATTAATTATCAATTCATCAGAGAGCGCTAATAAATGGGAACTGGATACTGATTAATTAGGCTACTAAAATATTCAGCTATATAAATAATGGCAAAACCCCCCAGATAAAGCCATTGAAATTAACACTCTTGTAGGGGGAATAATCACGTAGATATCATGAGGTTTTCCCCATCACATTCCTAGCTCTGGGGGAAAAAAAATATTTTTCTCAACAACAATTTAAAAAAAAAATTTAAAAGGAGTGAATGAATGAAAGAAAAAGGCAGGCTGAACTGTAACTTACCCTTACAAGATCACAAAGAAAAAATTAAGCTGAAACCAGCTGAACCGCTGGACCATTTACTGCGAGTAATCCAATTGCAAAAAACCCTATTCCCCATAGAGGATTTTCACTAAAATCCTACAACAGGGACATTTAACCAGATTAGGTACCAGCAAAGATAAAGAGGCTGGTATTAGATGATGAATGGATTAGAGTCAGGTTTCATTTTAGAATGTGTCTTCATTTCCTTTTATTACTTTAAGTAAGGAACAACTTGCATTAACATCAAGTAAAAGGAATCACATTAAAATAAAGTAGTGATACCATGGTGGCCACGATAGCGCCGCTGCTGTTCAGGGTCTGCCAGCACTCTCCTGCTGCAGCACAGCTCTGCGCCCACTGCTCCCTCCCCAGCACCCCCAAACACACACACACACCCTCACCGTGCCGCCTTAGACAAGCTATTGCTGTTATCTGATCTGGCTTCCCATGCTCTGAGCTTCCCTTAAAAGCATTTCAAAAATAATTCAGTTATTCTTTGGGAATGAGCTGCTGGACTGTGGAGAAGGAAGAGGGAAGACAAACAGGGAGCAAGGAGGAAAAGAAATATCTGTCTTCCCTGAATGAACAAGAAGTCCCTCTACCATGCTTTGGCCCAGTGAAGCCCCTTTGGCTCCCCCAGCCCCAGCCCCTGCCATAAGTGGCTATTTGGGCTCACCGCTTTGATAACTGCAGGAAAAAGTGTGCATCCAAAAGAAGCCAGCCAAGACCTGTGCCTGTGCTTCCCACAACTTCTCCTGTGTTCTTCACCATGTTTTCTCTTTCTGCCACCCTTACATGGGATGATTCCTCTCCACCACCAAGCGCTTGGCACAGGGGATTCCACTGTCAAGTGGCCACCACGCAGGGAAGAACGTGGTCACAACAGCCAATGCTATGATTAACAGCAGGTTGTGCTGGCTGGGTTGTGGGTCAGATCTGCCAGCTGAACAGCCAAGGACAACTTTTGGCTACATGGATCCATAATGGCTTCATATCAGGAGGAGATATGAGGATTTGGTTCTCCAAGTTCAAAAAGCCAAAGGAGATGCTCTAACCCAAAATCTGTTCTCTTTCAAGAACCAACCCAAGCAGTCTGAAAGTAACTGAAGGCTTTGGTAAGGGTTTCACCTGACAAATTATATTTCACACCCTACAAAGTAGCAGGCACTACCCAACAACACATGACATTACAAGCCAAATGACCAGTTGATGAGGTTCACAAAAATGATCATTTCTAATAAAAGCTACTTTTTCTGGCCAAGAATTGTGTGAACTCCTGCTGTTAGGTGACCCACATTGTGACCCCACTTATTGAAGAAGTTAATACATGCTGTAGCTTTGTGCTCTCCCAGCTCTATCTGCACATCATGGTAAACCTCACCCAGACCCTGACAGACATTAAGTGCTGTCTTCCACAGAGAGCTTATTTTCACAGAAACTGGAGCTGGTTAGCTAAAAAAATAAGTAGAATAACATTAGAGGGTCAGACTTAAGCCGACAAACAAGAAACAACATGTGAGAGGAAAGCTGGACTGACATGGCTCCATCACCAAAGCCAGATGTACCATAGGGGGTTACATGTCAACTGTGGGAAACCACCACTCCTTGCTTTGATATACCAAGACCGCCCACAATATCTCCACAAAACAGAACAACGGCTAAATTATTATGTATTTCACTTAACATGTTTCAGACACAAATAAAAAGCAAAAGTAAAACAAATAAAAATCAACAATTAAGCGCTTGAACCTGAAGTCTGCAAATTTTTCCCCTGGTAATTAATTTTTGTTTAGGTTACTACCATGCACTCAAATGGACCATTCATATAAAGGTGCAAGGGTAGGATACTCTTTTGACACTGATGATGCTGGGGCAGAGGTGGGTGGAGAATGTACCAGGGGAAAGGCAGATACTGTCATATACATGCTCAAAAACTGGGACAGAGGAGTGTGATCCACTTCCCAGCCAGTCAGTCTGCATCGGTACTACTACCCAGGGACAGGTTTCCATTCTGTTTTGCACTGTTTGGCACACACTGGGGAAAGGGACCATAACTCCCCCCAGAACAGCACACACAATTTGCAAGCCAAGCTAGACATGCATAATATGCTAAACAAGCTGCTCTTTAAAAGTACCATTCCTGAAGTTAACTAAGCTTCCTTGGAAAATAAAAATAAAGGACAATCTGGGAAAGAGCAGGATTAATTCTGCAGATGCATCTTCCTTTGAAGCCAATGGGAGCTCTGCCTGAGTTACAAGTGTGGTCCTAACCCCATCCACTGGCAATGAAAGGTAAACCACAGAAACCATCAATAGGAGACACCCATTAGATGACTTTAGACATTCCGCTGCAAAAGGCAATATTCTGCAATATGCATTTGTGAGCACTTCATCAAGGGCACTTTTAAGCCACTGTGAGATGCAGGCGTTTCTCTGGCAAGCTGAAGAGCTCCATGTATGGCTCTGTCAGACATGGGAAGGGGAGCTGCTCTGGTACACACAGATCAGCACCAGGGCATGTGCTGACAGGACTGGAACAAGTGGAGATTTCTAGAGAGAAATCCCAGCACCTAAGAAGTACCAAGCCCTCTGCTGATAAATCACCCCTGTCCATTGAAAGCTGAGGTCTCATATGGTAGCTTAGAGGGCATGGTAAAGAATTGCAAAAAGACAAGAGAAGTTTGCTTTTCTTGGTAACTGCTGCCTGAAGCAACCAAAAGAAATTGTCCCCATAGGGGCTCTACTACTAAACCTCTCTATATGAATTTGAAATGCTTCTGGGAGTGCTTAAACACAGATCAGTTTAAACAATAATGGAGCTCTAGAACAAAAAAAATTCTCACACCAAAACCACAACAAATTTTGGACTGATAAATGTTTGAAAGGAGTACTGAGATCCATTTAGACTAAGTTCTGATAGGTGCCTTTAGGGAACAAAAAAACCTATCTGAACTTCAGATTTAAACTGCAGGGGATTGTGTGTATAAATTGCTGTGTATTAGTCTTTGTTGCATGGTAAGGACATTTCATTAACAGGATGAAAGACGCTTCTATGCGTATACAGCCCAATTTAATACACCCCACTGATGAATACTCCCCATTTATTGAAGAAGTTAATACATGCTGCATAAATCAATAGTTCCTAAGTCTCTGAAAGCAACATAGGACTTGTGTAAGATGAAACATTGTATTGTTGAGCACACAAAGAGAAACCAACCTCTAAACAGGAAGAGTTTACGACTGCAATTTCTGCTTGCAAATTCATGGCTCGTTTGGCTTTGGCAATAAAACCACAGTATCATATCAACTCCAAGTCAGAAAAAAAAACATGCCAGAGACACCAGAGGATGTCCTCACCAGGATAATGTGGGGTTAGTAAAGGCAGGTCTGCACAAAAGCCACCCAGGCTGAAAACAAGCCATCATGCCATGTCAGCATGGCAGCGGCCAAAGCCTCCGGCCCCTGACTCCTTCCCAGCGCATCCCGAGGGCAGGGGGAGGCTCCTGCACCCACCCAGCCTCAAACTCCAGCAGCTGCCAGCACAGCCCATGTAGCTGCAGCCCTTTCCCTGACCTGGTGCCCTTTGAAAGGTCCTTCAAGCCCTGGGAGGTGCTGCAGCCCACCGGGCACCCCTCAACCACCCGCGACCGGGAGGGACTGAGCAGGTGCTCACACCCAGAGCCCAGAGCCCAGAGCCCCGGCCCCTTCCTCCGCGATCAGAGGAATGAGAGCTCTCCATCCTCCTCAAAACCTATTAATCAAGAGACACTGAAAACAAATGGAGCTAGAGCTCCGCCTGTCTTTTTGCCATGTCCTCCTCTTCCCCACTGCTCTCCTTTTCTGCTGAAGAAAGATGGGCCCTGAAAGTGCTTTTATGAGCCAGTACAATACAATAAAACAAAAGCAGCACAGAAGAGGGTTTGTCAGCCTTTTCCCCTCCTCCAGGGTGGATGCAGGTCGACAGTGGTCTTGAATTAGCAGGCCCTCCTGGAGTTGCTCCCTGGGTTTAGCAAGGAGTACCATTCAATACCAGTTCACATTTAAAATTACGTGTTTCTCTGTATTTTCCTGCTGATGCTATTGCAGTTTTGCCGACTGTGGCCAGTGAAATGCTAACAGATGCTCCTGAACTGCTCTGCAGTTC